GCCCGGGTACCGGCGCCGCGGGGCGGGGGTGGAGGTTGGGCCTCTCTCGAGACGAACCGAGGGGTCCCCCCCGGACACTCCCGGGTCTCAGCGGGTGGGGTGCGGGCTCGGTGGGGGCCACCCGTCCCACCACCCCAGGAGCGCGGAGCCAGGGGTCACCCGTGGGGACCCTCCGGGGCGGCAATGTGGGGGCTGCGCTGTGTCCCTTGGTGCGGTGCGGGGGGCTCCTGGAGCGGGAGGAGGCAGCGCCCCGGCATGTGGCAAGGGAAGGGCTTTGAAGGTGAACTGCAGGCAGCCGGCTCCTTGGCAGGCTCTGGGAGGGGACGAGCTGCGTGCGGCTTCATTTTCCTTGGGGTCACCCGTGGGGACCCTCCGGGGCGGCAATGTGGGGGCTGCGCTGTGTCCCTTGGTGCGGTGCGGGGGGCTCCTGGAGCGGGAGGAGGCAGCGCCCCGGCATGTGGCAAGGGAAGGGCTTTGAAGGTGAACTGCAGGCAGCCGGCTCCTTGGCAGGCTCTGGGAGGGGACGAGCTGCGTGCGGCTTCATTTTCCTTCCAAAAAACCAAGCACCGCACGTCTCTTCTTCCCCAGTTTTACCCGAGGACCCTTGGATGCATCCTCATCCAGTGGGCTCTCACAGCACTTGCTCCTTCCTCCGTGCAAGAGTAAAAATGCTGGTGCCCTTCGGACAGAAGCCAGGGACTGTCCCAAAGAGCTGGCCCTGCGGCCAGGGAGCCCTGTGGCCTGCAGCAAAGCACCTGGATGGGTCCCTGCTCCCTAATGCCAACGGACATGTCCATCAGCTAGGAGCTGACCCCGGGGCTGTGCCCGGAGTGGAAAGCCCCGCGTGGGGCCAGTGCTGGCAGTGCTCCTGCCCGCTGGGTGCTGCCGGTTTGAATTAGGTCAGGCTTTCATCTTGGGCAGGCTGAGCTCCCCGCTCCAGCCCGAGGGATTGATGATTCGTGGCAGGCGCCCGGGCAGGGGGAGGAAGGGGCTCTCGCTGCAGCACCGTGGGGCAGCGGGGAGCCGAGGACTCGCCATGTCACTGCATGGAGAATGGGTGATGTGCTGTTTTGAAAGCATCTTCCTTATTGATACACCGAGATCAGACGAGTGGAGTGTCAGGAAAGGCTCCAAATAGACTCAAGGGACGTGTACGCCTTCAGGGCGTAGTTTTTCAGCCAGTGGAAGGAGCCACAGTGGCCAACGGGACCCTGTGTCTCCATGGCATTGTCCACCTGGACATCTGCTGCTAACCAGAAAGCCTTTTCAGAAGGCAAAGCTGTGCCCGTGCTAATGAAAGAGATGAGTGAACTGGCCAGGTCCTTTCCCAAGGTAGTGTCCTGGTGAAACCAGAGCTGAGACCTCTCCCGTGAGCTGTGAGGGCCATGCCATGAAGGATGCAAAAGTCTCGGGACGGCCCGGGCTCCCTTTGCTCTGTGATGGCCACCCCGAGTTAGTAGCTGCTCTCAGCATCAGCAGCAGCCAAGGTACAGGAGACAGGCAGAGAACAGGGACGGCTGAGACACGGGGGTGAAGCAAAGTCTGTAGCGGTGGAAAGGCTGAGCTCAACCCTGGGACAGCACAGGGTGGTGGGGAGGCTTTGGGAGTGGGTGCTGGGGCTGGGTTCTGAGACTGGCTGGCTCCAAGCATCCCGGCAGGCACAGCCACACTGGAGCCATTCGTGCGGTGCCTGTTCTGCTCCTCATTCTCCCCAGCAGTATGAAATCCGCTCCAGTATCCACCAGTAAATCCCCTGAGAAGGAGCAATATGATGTGGAAGCCAGAGCAGAAGACAGCTGGGATCCCTACCCATTGCCCAAAATTATGCCAAGGTTGCAGGGAGACTTTGTTCAAAGCCCCGCACTCCTTAATCACAGGATAATGCAGAGAGCTCTCCAGTTACAGCACTAATAACCACCGCAGTTTGGTTTCCATAGTGGGATATTGTGGAGATAATTAGATGAGGGACTTCCAGCTCGTTTGGCTGGGTGATGAAAGCCTCCTCCACGCCCAGGCAGAGCTGTGCCACCGCCGCCACCAGCACTGCCAGCCCTCCGCCACCAGCACCTCTAATGAACTGGAGAGGGCTGCTGGAAATTAATTTTTCAATTAACTCTCCCTGATTTCACCATAAAAGCAAACACCAGTCAGGCAGTGCCCACCTGGGAGCGAGTGGCTCAGGGCGGTGACGAGGCAAACCCTGGCATGGGGAAACTTTCTCTTCCCAAGTGGTTTGTAGGTATTGCACCCCAGGGTGAGCTAACACTCCGTGCCATGCTGTGCCGTGCCGTGCTGTGCTGTGCCGTGCTGTGCCGTGCCATGGAGGCTCTTGCTGCCTCAAAGGCACCAGTTTGCAGGGCTGCAGCTTGGGTCAAGTCCAAGCCCTGAATGAACCAGAGCTGAGAGCAAGGAGCAGAAATTTGGAACCTGGGTCCAGCAGAGAGGCTTGCTGATGGTTATGGCTGGGGTGTTTTCAAGAGC